TAATAATAATAATAATAATAATAATAATAATAATAATAATAATAATAATAATAATAATAATAATAATAATAATAATAATAATAATTCAAATAAAAGTTACCAGTAAATATATAATAGATAATGCACTTACAGCTTTACATCAAAAAAGCAGAGATATCGCTTTAGAATGGAACTTTCTCACTGAATACTGTATGGATTTTCATTTCAAATGAGCAAAGCAAAGCTAACAGTGAAAGATGATTTAAAGCAACTGAATTCGCTTCTTTTAATGACTGCATACCGACGCTGTGCAATAGCAGCATGTTAAATGATTAAATGAGCGATAAGGGAATGAGGAAGGAAGAACAAATACGAAATATCTTTTGGTATGATCAGAAATAACGAGATCTGCTTCAGGCTTGGAGAAGTCATGAAGTAACGATCAATATGAGTAGTACTCTGCTGGATTTCGGTTGATTTAAATAAAGTTTATGCAGTAACTGCAAAGATGAAATACGCGGATAAGTGAACGGTAAGCAAGAACACTATAAACATGTAAGGTGATGACTTAAATCATACCATATGTTCGGAGCTTTCCAAACAACTGCATGGAACAGAATATAATAAAGAACTGAAGAGAGACCAATATCTCGGTGAAGTATCAGAAAATGCGGATGACGAGTGCAATAATACTGTCTCCTACTTGGACTGAGCAAATTAGTAACAGCTGAACCTGAACTTATATGAAAAAAGTTGAAACCTTATCCTTTCCCTTCCGTGCCTCTCTTCTTAGCCTAAATGATTAATGGCTATTCTGCGGGCAACACATCTCTACACACTACGTAACAGTAAATGAATTTTCAGATTGCATTGCTCGCAAACTGGGATAAAAGAGTGTGACATGAAGGATATCGTGTGGCACATTCGGAATGCCATCACTGTGATTTATTAAACTATTTTCAAAGCAAGAATTATATTTATTAAGAATCGATATATCACTAATTCTTAGATGGTAACTTCCCTTCTATCCACTACTCATTCTCCGTTCAAACCTTCACATTATCTTACGATTAGTACGATACTACTGCTCAGTTCAGACTTTTGACGTACTGTTATCACTTGCTATTTACTTTCGTATGTATCATAAATATCAGTGCTTTCTCAGTTGGATTCTACATTATTGATAAAACATGTTTTCGTACTTTATTGCGCCAAACTTACTGGTAACAATGGATTCCCACTTGACAGAATTGGTGAGTGATGCAAGTTCGAAAACTAAAAATTTCTACAATGAATTAAGTTTAAGATGAACTGAAAGAATCTGATAGCTACTGCTAACATTCTAGGATACGAGAGATGCAATGCACATGAAACTAAAGTATGTCAAACCAAAATAAACATGGCTTTTCAGATATCTGATGCTAAGAAAGACTTAGGTACGTTAGGCAAAATCCGACAGTGAATGAAAATGACTACCCGACTGAGAACTGAAAGCATAAAGTTGATAAGAGAACAAATTATGCTGTAAGTTGCAACTGGCATTATTCGATCGTTCTGAACTAGGCTATTTGAGAGGTGAAAAGTATGGGATTAAATTATTAGCACTGATGAGTAACACACCCTTTCGGAAGATATGACAGTTTTACTATGCAAAGAAGGAGACACCTAGATCAGATTTTCTTTTGAAAATGAGTGGATGCGAAAACTTACTATAATTACCCCCTACCATCCACACTTAACTCGTTTGTGTATTTTAGCTCCATTAAAAAATTTCCGAAAATCTGTCGATTTCTTCTCGACATTCTTAAACACCAGCTATACATTCTAACAGCCTCGTTGCTTCAGATCACCCTAAAACGTAAACTTTGATCTAAAATAACTGCGTGTAACCCTTCTTTTTCTCGATCACGTCAACCGAGTTTTTATCGCGTAATATGCCACCCAGAAATTCACATGCTCATAGATATTTACGACTTTTACAAAGCGGTCTATGAGACCGCTGCGTCCAGTCCCAATGAATTGCATTTTCAATTTTCACCTACTCATCGATATTAACATTTGAAACAATGTCAGCACCAGCGACAATAAAAAAAATATCGCAGTAGGATAATTTGCAGAGCCATACTTCCATTAAAGCTTATCACTTTTATAACAGTTACCGAATTCAGTGGAGAAATTTGTTTGACAAAATTAGGGCAATTTTATACATCAATTTCGAAGTTTTCTTTGTCAAATTAACTTGAAGGTGAAAAAAATTCTCGTGACAATTCGTCAAAATAACGGTTGTGTAAAACGAGGGTAGAATTCTGCTTCTTTGACCTGTCACATAGCGAATAAACTGCTTTTGTTAAAAACATTTTATTCAATGGTATAAAAAGAAAAAGAAATTTTTCCTTTTGCTACTCCCTCATCCTTCCAGCAGGTACTTTTATTTCTGATGGTAATATATTATATTTGATGGTAATATATTTCACAACCAATCTAGCAAAGCAAATACATCATCGGATTGCTCTACCAGTCGAGGTACAGGTCAAAGCTTTGGAATGGCCCACAAAGTCAATCATCCTCACCGTTCATTTACTAGTGAGTTGGGTTGTCGTTAAAAGAACTAGCAAAAATAAAAATAAACTCCGCAATTTCCAAAAACTGTAATCCATAACGCAATCTAAACTGAATGAAGTAAATCGGAGAAGCAGACAATTTTGAAGCGAAAATCATTTATAGCTATGTTTACCACATACTAAAAACGACACGCAGAACAGATAAGGAAAGGAGTGAAAAATTGAAAAATGAAGTGGCCCAAGTTCAGCCAATTTGAAATTCATCAAGTTCAGTTTCTTCATGAAATCCTATATTCTTCATGAAATCCTATATTAGAAACGTTTCCCAAAACGGCAAGGAAACAGTCAATCAAAACAAATACAGAGGGAAGTAGGATGTTTAATAAATTCAGTTCTAAGTTTCAAGTTTGAATCCTTCAACAGGCAGTGCAAATAAGTTGAAAATATTACTGATATTACTGAAAAATGGACATTCCCTATCAGTAACGTTTTGAGACTAGTAGGTCAATCTATCAGTAATATTTCGAGACTAATAGGTTAGCAGAGAAAAAAAATCACCTTCGATCATTAAGAACAGGATTTCGAGTACATTAAGTTAAACAATTACTATGATTTGTTCATGAAGATAAAATCAGAATGAAATTTAAGGAGAATTTCGTGAAAATTATAAATCCGAAATTCTTTTAAATCAATTAGTTCTTAATCAAACGGTAGTCAATAAATAAACGCAAACACGGAGTTACTGTCAGAAAAACGGTAATGCAGTATCCTGTCTCATTGTACGACACGTCTGCACAGAAGTTGGGAACAAACTCTGAATGAAGTAGTTTCAAAGAATGTGAAGTTCCAAGTACACATAGGCGCATGGACACATGAATTCATAACCAGGACCACCCAGTAAGCAAAAAACACGACGTGTTGTTAAAGTGGAAAATGTGCTGTTAAGAAATGTTGTCGGAAGATTTATGAAGGTTGTTACAAGGCAGATTTTAATCAAACAGACAAAGATACATATGGAAGAATAGATGCGCAGATATATATACAAAAATATTTAGCAAACAAGTCTGAAATGCCTGCATACTTCAGAGGATGAGAGTCACAAATAACAGTAAACCAAGACAAGAAAGTGTTCAAGGTTAGCAACAGTGTTCACTTTTCAGAACTGGTTTAGAACTGGGCAAGAATCACGAGTCCTCTACCTGAGAAGTCGTCTGATTTATGACTGCTAAGAATGGAGGATAGGATGGACTTCCTTCTTTGTTACCTTTTCCTCGCTTAGCCTAATGTGTCTATTCTGCTATCATTATAACATCACGTTGTAAAGTTTGGAACTATTTAGTAGATTTTATATTAGATCAGCTAAATATTTATCGACTATTATCTTTCCTAAAAGTTATTGCTTAAAGGATAAAAGATCACCCCAATGATCAAGCCTCCCTTCGAAAATCTCTGTCAGAAATGCGGACTCCTTAGTGATCATTCAAAGCCAACAGCACATCAGCTGGACAAAACAGGTGCTTCCTCAATTTCTTCTCGAAATTACGAGTGAAAAATCGGTTGAGAAGTTCATGGATTCATACAATATTATTCATCATAGCTATTCCAAACACCAACATTAATGATGAGCTATTTCAAGATATGGTGTAACGGAAACAGATAATAGCAGCAGAAGGGAATCATTTTTATGCTAAGAGAATGGAGAAAAAGTTTTGGTAAATTCAACAGTGCAGAGACGGCTCGTGCATGTTTTCGAAAATGTCAAGTTTGTCTCTCTCATTTTAGCTCCTTTTCACAAATTTCAAATTTGAAAAACCGTTTTTATTTCTGGTACATGCACATTTTTTCATGGTCACATTTAGAAAGTGACGAGTCGAGGACATCCCTATTCTAATTTCCGGAAACACTTCCACCGACATTTAAACTCCTTTCCAGAAATTCCTTTGATCGCAATATGTACTTACATGCAAGCATGAAATTGCAACAATCCCAAACAATAACTTAAAATGTCAAATGTTGAAACTCTCGATGGGCAAAGCATCCTCTCGATGAGCACAACATCCACCTTTGGATAATTCTATCTTGTTTGACCCGTATAGAATAAACGGAATAATCACAGTGTTACTGTTGATGTATGCGGGAAAGAACAGTACAAGAACAGTACCAATTCCAAATGATCATATTCCAATAAATATTTGTATCACGAATTTGCCAAGCAAGTCGCTAATGGAAGAATATTATCACCTGAAGACTTCAATTTGTACTAATGTTTCTTCAAAGCAGTTATTCAGAATCTAATATCTGGGATCATAAATGGCCTATCACATGAAAAGAAGACATGTGTTACTTGCTTTCTCCACTACTGATCACTACTATCCTTTTCGCTATTTTTAGGAATAATCATGAGAAAATATTGGACGATAATGCAATCGAAAATAAAAAAAAAAAAAAAAAAAAAAAAAAAACGAGTAGAATGGATAGAAATGTGTTCAAATAACGATTTACTGGTGTAGTAAATCCATTCATTTATTACTCCCCAAGCTGAGCCCTTTCCAATAACGATTGGATTTTCACCACATTCCTTATCCTCTTTTCAGGGTGATACGTAAGACTAATGTTATACGAATTTCTCTCCTCCCTTGCTTACTCCATTTCCGAATTTAAGTCCATTAGTCATCCAACTAAAACGCCAAAGCTGTTCCTTTTTATCAATCATTTCCAACCGCTAGCCTTCTTCTACGAAATGAGTGACCAATACCAACCATCATGAACGAAGAAGACTTCAGAATTTCTGATACGATTAATTTTGACAAAAGCAAAAGCAAAATATGACAATATTATCGGATAGAAACGGAATGGTTTAGAAAACCTTCTCAGTGCTGACTTTCCAACTGAAATGTTAGCAAAAAATTGCACATAAAGGATTGAAGGGATTTATTGTTAACAATAGGGAAAAAAGAATTCAAATCTGAATCAGAGAATGCAGATGATTCGCTCTTACCTGATGTAATGGAGTTTACATTGCAAAAATATGGATATTAATTTAGTGACCGCAAATAAATGACATGAAATGAGAAAATCAGTAACTTAATGACAAGATTACTGAATAAATGACATTGATATTACTGAATAAATGACATTGATCACGATGTGGTAAGCTGGGTTAAATCAAATTCCTGTATTACTCGTACAATTTAGATCACAAAGGCGTATGATGGCAATAACAGATGTTTGGTAAGTTGGAGCGCAATGCACTAAGACTGCTGGTTGGTGTCCCATTCATTTCATGGGTGACGAAGACCACAAAGAATTAATGCACAACAAATGATCTGCTGTATGATTGAAGAAGGGAAAATACGGTTACGAGAAGTTGGCTTAGGTTAAAACGAGGCAGAATAGATTACATACGTACACACAAACATACATACGTACATACACATACACATACACACAAATATACATACATACATACATACATACATACATACATACACAGAGACAAATAGTAGCAGAGATTAATGGAACCGTGACTTGAAAAATGATCTCAATGCCGAATTCCAACTCTTGACTCATTCCATTACTAAGTCTTTGTTGTCCCGAAACGAGTCCGAATTACAATATATACTACTAATAAATGCACTTTCCAATAGGTCTATGAAAGTCAATCATTGAAGAAAAAAAAGGAATGCATTGCCGCCAGAATGATGATAAAAGAGGAAATTCCAACATGATGACTGATCATTAATGCAAAATAAACTATGGATTAATGCGCTTTAACTGAATCTCAATAATGACTTTATCATACAAGACAACTTATTCAAATATTAAAGAAGCTATATGACAAAGACTCCGTTTAAAATGTTCCTCTTCAAAACATTTTTCAAACAAGTGATACTGGAAGCATACCGCAAGCACAATATAGTACTATTTGCTGGGATACGCATCATACCTAAGCGATTTTATTGCGATCATTTAATCTAGGATCCTTAAAAATGAAAACATCAAGATTTCGAAAGTGCAATACAGAATTCAGGTACCAATGCTTCACCAGTACTCGGATTTAATGCTTCGTATGCCACCTTATTCCACCAATAAATTAGAGCAGAGTTTTAACACTAATCTAGTTAGCAATTACACTTTGGTGAAAAAACAATTCGAAAATAAATATAATATCTGGAAAAAATTCGAAGAGAGTATCCACGATTTAGAAAGGTCAGTCTCATAGAGATATATAATTGTCATGCCAATATTGGAACAACGAACTAGGTGTGAAAATAATCCTGAAAATGATGCAGAGCTTCCTCTTTCCGATGAATGTTGCCCAAGATTACCTTTATTCCGTTATGCATTATTCATCATTATGAATTTTCGAATAATGAGTAGCGTATGAAAGAATATTCAAGAGTTCAATGTCTGCCGTAAACGTTAGTTAAAGTCTGTCAAGTTCTTCAATTATCCAATTTTAAAGTGAATAACTTTTCCTAGAGTTGATTTAAAAATTGAATAGTTTCAGAAAAAAGAAATTTCTTACTTTCAGAAAAAAGCCTTTGATATACTGTTGAAACTGGAGGGTATTTTCAAATCAAAAAAAAAACCATTTAATTGAGTGTGAAGATAAGTTTCAAACTTTTTGCAAGAAGAATCTCCTAATGAGTAGATAAGTCGCGTACTTGGACAACAAATTATGCCATAATTTCTAGGCCGAAGTTACGTTTGGAATCAAACTTTGATTTTCCAGTTTATTCGTGGAATTCTGTTCACTGCTAAACGTAGGCTTATTCTTAAATTCAAGTTCAAATCAATCACGCTTTAACTTAGGCTTAAATTCGGATTTATCTATTTACTGCCATTATTTGGAAAAAATATGTTCAGATACTTCATTTGCACGACGACATCGCATAGTTTTCACTTACTTAATACAATAGCAGAACGAATAAATCAAGATGAAGAAATGGAAGGTGCCACGCTATCGTCACTTATATTTTCATACTTTCAATAACTTATAAATTTTATAGACTAGAATTAAAAATTATAAATCGTGAAGTTGAAGTGATTCATAAGTTTGAACTATGCTGAATTCGGTTTTTTATTTCAAACAGCAGTCTGCACCATTCAGCTTACTTTTCGCTATTTTTACTGGGTTATAGAAATGAATGCTGGATAAAGGTAACAATCCAATCATGATGTTTCTTCGCATTATTCAAAGTAGTTTTTTTTCCGTAGGATTGAAATATGAAAAAAAAGTCGATGCTTTAAGAAGAAAATTGTGACTGCTGTCACTGGGGTCTTTCTACTAATCCTTGACAAAATTTCTTACATTTTCATTGGTGGCATGGACTAATAATTGTGTACGTTGTACCTCATTTCGGATTTCAACACTCGTATCGTATGATCCAGTGTAATGGGAAATTTTTTTTTTAATCAAAGTAAGTGCCAGAATGCTCAATCTGCAGTAAAAAAGTAGAATCTACATTGCTAAATTACTTTTTGAACCACTGTGTAAAAACAAGGAAGGAATCAGAGAAGTGGTAAAATGAAAATTATTCAATTTTTAGGCAACAGCGAATTCTGCTGCATCATATGGTGACCACGTGCTACAGAACTATCGTTTTACAACACTTCGTGGCGTTACAAATAAATTTTGAAAATTAACGATCAATGGATATCGACTAACAAGAAAAAGCACTTAATGCATAAATCAATCACTTCCAGATTTGACGAATGTGACATTTCTCCGAGATTATTGCTTAAAAAATTACCTTTCCGAATGGCTATTCTGAAGATCATTAAATTAAAATTCTAGTCACTCTCAAAAACAATAGGCAAAACCGAGATTGTAAGATATCCATACGATGGTTGTGCGAAATGTTTACATAATTAATGCGATTTCATTTAATTGGTTCTTTGAACATCAAAATACTTGATATGGAAACAGTAACTGTTATTGATAATCCTGGCATTTTTGGATAAAAAACACAACGATGACTACATAACTAAAGGATATGAATTGTGAACAGATATGGCCATTACGAGAGGAAGCAATGGATACGATGCGATCATGAGACCCGACTTGAAAGGCTATTTGATGTTGATGGTGAGAGAGCACATGTTAAATGTGGTAAACGGAGTGGGCATCAACATGACCATCAATATCGGCGGCCGTTAAGGTCGAGCCACAGGATCACATCACATCATTTAGTTATCTATCTGAGAGGCGCTTCCTTTGATGCCTTCTCTCCTTGATAATAAACCATCTTTGGTGCCCTATCTCTTTCCGCAATCTCTTTCTCAACTGCACTATTTTGCGTACTTGTCATCATCTAGCTATTTCCATATCATTCTTATTCGCTATTGGAGGTCATTGAGTGTGACCAATTCGGTCAACCGACTACAAATCTCCTCCTTTAAGGATGATGCCATACATGTCCTCGTGAACTCCACAGCTTCTCATCTCTAAAACAAACAGTGTCACAGGCATATTATCCTGTCAATCAGCTACAGAATGACCATTTGACGCTTGGATTTTGTACTTTTCACGGCAAACCAATCAATGTAAACCGAAAGTGGAGAGTGTAAATGACAATAAAGTAAGGTACATTTGCGAAATAAACACGTAAACAAAAATGTCACATGAGAAGAGTAAAACCACATTTCTTTTGCCAATAAATTTCTACCCTTTTCTTCCTGCTAAATGAATTTCTAATTCTATTTAACCAGAAAAATAATTCAGTCTTCTGTTGTTTCTGTTTAGAGCATTAATGAATTAATTCCAACTAGCTCATCAATACATGTCAAAGTTCGCGTATTATCGGATGAGATGGATTAGGTTCAAGGACATTTTGATTGTAAACGGTGTAGGAGTCGTTGATAGATGATAGTACCTGATTATGTCCAAAAATTAGTTTTTGATGATGAACCATCACTTATTCAATTCTTCGTTGCAGTTTACTAACATTGCAGTGCTATACTCATTGACAGTATCATGAAATAAAATAAACTAACTTGAAATAGTAGCAAAATAATGAAGGAAACAAATAATTATTTAAATTAGAAACAAAATATCGCTATGAATGAATAGAAAAACAAAATACTTTGCATGCGCTGGAAAAATTCAAACAGAATTCAACTGGTCCTTATTTTATATTTTACATTTTTTTTGCATTTTTTTTTTCACGGTTACATTTCCTATATCCAGAATTCGCTTTCAAGAGAGAGTGACCAATAAACTCTCTACCGCTGATCTGTTTAATTCGAAACCATCTTAGGCTAGTAGTTTTTCTGAATTATGGGGCCACTTGTTAGAATCCATCTATCTCCTGCAGTGACCTCATGTAGTAGACGGGATGCAACATTCTGTTTACAAAAAAATAACAGAGCCTGTCAAAGTTAAAGTTACTAGTTTACTGGTTTCACTGGTTTTACAGAAAAAGGTAGAAAAAAGAACTAGCATCATCGGTAAACATCCGAAAACTGCTTTTATGGTGTTGGATCTGTTTTCAGTCTAACTCTACCAATGATAGCTTTTAAGTGCAGCTTTCATTACTTCCTTTTAGATCATTATTTACAATATTTTTTGGTTTTCATCTTCGTACTTATCATTGATAACTTACTACAGCAAGTCACACAAGCCAACATTTCCAAAACTACTGGAATTTGGGATTTATCCATTCAACCATCTACCTATCTATCTATTTACATCAACATCTATCTATCCATCTATCTAACATATATATATATATATAT